TAAGTACTTGGTGTTCAAAGTCTGTGAGGTCTTACGTCGGGTCCTGTTATTATTACTCCTATGATAAACATTGAGATATTTTAATGGCGGACGAATATTTTAACGGTTTTGAAAAACGATAAGGCCGTCCTTTCTGGCCCTCTTTTATCGTATTAAGGCAACTGTACTTATTTATTTATGTACCCCCAAGGATTTGGATCGGACCAAAACCGCTCTGCATCAAACTGTGCCGGATCAACAAGATCTCTGCAGTTTCACGTTGACCGCGTCAGAAAAAATGGCGATGGTATGTGTCCTATGTCATTTGCGCACAGCCGTCATAAGACGAGCGTAAAGGGATAAGAATTCATTTGAAATTTCATAATGATACGCAAAGCCTTTGAAGGTCCCTTTTAAGTTGACTAACACGTTTGAGATTTGGTGCCTCATCCCCTTCAGACCAATGCAATAAAATTCCCCCTGCGGACGTCTTTGTATGCATCTCTAAACTTCAGCTCAGTTTATAAAAGGTCAATATAGCTAGTTCGTCGTTCCCTTCTCTGTAGGCTACACCTGCCATTCTATTTTCCGCTCGAGCGAATAGAGTGAATTTATCATCGTCGTCGTCGTCGTGTTATGGTGGTATTCATTTGGAAACACAGGTGGCCGCATGTAGGTGGTAGCAGCTTTCATTGCCTGTGCTTCCATAGAGCATACGAATAGTCGTAAGCAGCAGTAAGTAAAAGCCGAAGTATGAATGCTCTACGCTACCCCTAATAGAGAAATTTGCGCGCGCGCCAACATGTATTTGTGCCTTAATGCGAGAGCTGACCTTGGGAGCTAAGGAGCTCGCAGGGTCATCTCAACACTATGCAGCGCTCCATATCCGTAACATGACCTTAATTTCATAATCATTTCTCTTTAAAAGGTCACAAATGAGCCAAGCCCCATTCCTACACCCTATTTCAAGCCACTTACACGATTTTATAGGGAAACAAATTGAGTCACGACCGTATTTAGGACTCAAAATTCAACGGAGTGTCCGATCTCGACAGTGTTCAGTCCGCTTAGAATTAACAAGATTGGAATAATGAATAAAATCGTATCTATCTATGGTAAGAGCAGATCGGTCAAGAAACAGCTTGTTTGCGGGAGAGTTACGATACAATTGGAACAATCGGACGGAACCGTTTGCTCTCCTACGAAGGATATATATACTATGAAATGTAGGGCCGCATTAAAGATCCTAAAACAAGCTTTTGATGTCACAAACGTCGTGTTATTCGATCGACACAAATGCGGAGAAGGGTAGAATTTGTCATGTTGATTTGTTCGTCCCGATGCATTTTTCGTTCGAATATACATCAACGGCTACTTAAGCAATTCCCAGATAAAGATAAAGCGAGCGATCTCTAGTAATAGCGCTAAAAAGATAGAAAGAGATACAAATACGCTTTACGTATTTTGAAGTAGTCTGTCTTTTTGTATCTAACGGCGGCTGATTGTCGATTACCATTGAAGAACCTATTAGAACTTATACTGCACTTGTCATAGCTAAGTAACTGATAAAAGAACGAAGTGCAGATAGACTTGTTATAATTAACTTGTTTATCTAATTTACCCATTCCAGATGAGAACGACGGGAGGAACCCGGCGTTCCGTATGGTCAGAGGGAGAGCGCATTTCTTTGACATCGGCTCAACTGCAGCATTCTCTGCTGCAACGGACCGCGTCACTTTACCCTCGAAGGCTATCGGCACTACAACTTTTCGACCGAGCCGCGAAGGCTTCCTGGTAAGGAAGCCTACATTTATCCTTACAACTTTCACCCTTGCCCCAATGTAAAGGTTTAACTTTGTAAAGAAATAAGCAAAATCAGGCTGTCGCCCGCATTGCCAACTCCAAAAATATGCTGTGAATTAGAGTTTTCAAATTTTTCGCGGAACCGCTTATTAAATAAAATCCTTATTAAAAAAATATAAAGGCAATATAAAACCTTGATGCTTTTTAGAGCAGCCACGATTCAAAGCTGCGATTTGAGGATAGTAGATATGCAAAAATTATTAAAGTGCCTTTATTCGTTATTTACATATGAGATAGAACTTCCTACACACGTATGAAAACTCTCCGAAATAAATCATTATACTTAACAATTTTAAGGCACGAATTTTTCAGCAGGCCCGTAAAAACGGTGTGATGTTTGCCATTTCAATGCGCTGGAAGAAACAACTCAAAAATGACCCTGTCGCTTTCATTCTGGAAGTTTCGATGTGAAAAATGCTTCTTGTCCTGATCGATGGGTTGTACAAAAAATTGGGTAAGGCTGATATTGCGAAGGAACTAAACATCTACCTCCAAAGAGTTTTGAAGGAAGCTAGCTACAAGACAAGCTCAATGTCTGAGTGCCACATCAATTTATGCAGAGGCATTCATTGGGTCTTATTTCCATACGCCAAACTCTACAGAAACGCAACAGACCGTCATCCCTAGAGCTGTCGATCACAAGTGATAAAAAGCAAATTACATAGGTAAATGATATGCAAATATTGAAGAAAATAATTCTGTGTATTTAATGGGATTGGACAGGAGCCGTCATGAATTGTTCACTGTCGATTCAGACCTGTGCTGTCAACAGCTAACAAAATGGCAACAAGCCGTTAAACAGGTCAACCAAAACTATCTAACACATCGTTAGTTAACCGGAAAAAACTAAAGAAATTCTATAGAACGCTGGCATTCGCCAGCGAGCCCGGGCCTTACACCTTCAGATTATTATCACCTATTAAAGCTTTCAAAAGAAATCAGTTTATGGTGCTGACCCAGTTCAAATAAAAACGGGATAAGAATTCATCCAGAAGTTTTTCGCCCAGAAACCACACAGAAGTTTTACGGTGATGGGACTATCGTCTTGCCAGAAAATGGCAGAGGGTCCTTGACATAAATGGTGTATATTTAGTTCATATATATGATTTGAAAACAGAAAATATTTTCTTCAATTTTGGCTTATAAAGGGTCGATACTTCTTCAGCAATGCGATATGATACTCCGGTGTTATAACATACATTTCAGACTATTACGCAACCTATCTGTGTAAAAAAACGTTATCCAATGCAAGTAACGGAGTTCAACAGGAACTCTTATCAAAATAAACAATTATTGTCCGCCATAGGCGTGAGCTTACCTGCCTCTGCTTCTAATACTTCTCTCAACGCGCGTGATCGGAGACTGCTAGACTATCTCCAACTCGCCAGATTCGCAATGGGTCGCAAGGAAAAGAGGAGCTTAATATGTTACTTTTTCAAGCGCGCCTATCTCTATTGAAAGTCTTCCCTCCACACAAATTGTGGATTGCTTCTCTGTCAACGTATGGCGCCAGTGACACAACAAAGCAATTGAATCGCGTCTATGTGCTTTACAGATGCTTGAAGCCCTACATGTATTGTCGGTCTCGTACGTCGGAGTATTGTCGGACGTACTTTCTGTCAATAGCTGCTGCCCACATACCAACTCGGGCCAATGGGGTATTGCTTAAGACAGTTCTTCTCTAATTCGTAATACGATATTAAGATAAATGAATTGTTCTGCTTTCTGTAATCATAGTGCGTCCTCCAATCGAGGATTGCCGTGTCAGAATTTATATGTAATTCTATTTCGTAGTCTTTATTCAACAAGGGTTTTGGGCGTATGCCGCAAAAGTGTTCAACAAAGAGAACTCCTTGAAAATTGGCACCATACTTGCGCTGAAACTACCTATTTTAATTCCTAGAAAGCATTCAAACGATACTTCCTACGTACGACCGACTATAAGATCCAGCTCCGGATTTATTTCCACCGATACCACTACCTATTAAATTCTTTATCTGCTACAGGGCAGCTCATCGAGGTCTGCAATTACTGTTCAATTCGGTTTACTAACCTTACAGCCGTCGCCACCTCTACGCCGGGTTAGCCATTGTTGCAGGTCGTGCCTTAGTTTACTCTCTTCAAATAATCATTTATCCTCAGCTGCGCATATATTCTACCTATATTAAAAAAATCTATCCTTACGTAGGATGGGCCCTAGGGATCTCGGCAGGATGGATCTTTGTAAAGGAGCTTCAGGAAATACGAGGGCATCGCGTGCCCCTCTTTCCGAAGCCTATGCATCGGTAAACTACACTCGTATTAACCAATGTATTCCAATTTTAATGCTGCAAGCCGTGTTAGGGCTTTGTATACATCGGCAGTAGATGAAAAACCTGATGAAAGGCTGTATGATCCCAGCTGTTTCCACAGTCGTACTACATGCACATAGTTTTCATAGCTTAATAGTAGCTACACATCATGTTAGTTAGATTAGAAACAACTTTTCTTCGCAGTAATGCTTTTGGAATATCCTTTGATTCTGCAATACACTCTCGAAAGCCTGTCACGCTGTTCGTGCTACCCTCTTGAATCAAGCGAAATGCATCACGTAATAAACTTTGAAACAATTTTATACCCGTTCCCATTGCACGCCATCTGCAATATTGCGTTTATGTTTATGGGCATCTCAAATCAATGGCGCTTCTACTATTTTCAAGTGTCTCCCAACTTTATCTCTCAAGTTAAGTCAATGAATAGAGCAAAAGCTCTATGAAGCAAACAGGCCTTATTTGCATAGAAGAAAGCCAACATATTTTGTAGGTAAATTTAAACCTTTCAAACAGCTACATGAACCAATGCGGGATCGTCTCAGGTCTACCGCAATTGGAATCAACTATTATTCCTATTGTCCTACTTTGAAAAGATTTTGCCTGTAACAACGATTTTTTCCGCCTCATGTGAACTACAGGTGGAACCCACGCTTCGATTCGAAAGTGCTCGAGGAACAATTTCGCCAGAGCTCATTCACGCAGACCGAACAGCATTTCCGATATGCACTCCTCTATGTCATTCTCAGTGCGCTCGTGTATGCCCTGTCAGCATGTACGGTTGGTCGAGACACGTGGCCGCAGGTAAGCGCCGATATTTTGAGTGAATTTTCAACCACCATCCCGTTTTCAACAAAGTAAAACAGTTACCCAAGCCGCACGAGATATCTATAGCATGTGTTTATTAACTGAAGGAGTTTCTCGACGGGATTTGGCGTATTCAAAGATGGATTCTTAAACCCGAAGTAAGGTTTGCAAGAAATCCGCCAATTGGCCGAGCAGATAATTTAGGAGCGCTTATTATCAGACATCGTGACGGTGTCAGGAATTAGAAGCCCTATGTGCGCTATAGACTGAGGAAAGCGCGAACGGAAACACAGCTTTTCCTTAAGTCTCAATCTTTCCCGCGGAACCGGCCAACACGCAGCGCAGTGACACACATCTACACATATCTGTCGCCAACGACAAACAACGGTATCTCCATTTCAATGTGAACTACAGAAGAGATTAGGTAACTGTACGTTTAAGCTCCAAGACTCGCCTATTCCCGAAATTGGACAAGGCCTCCATTTGACACAGAGCATGATTTGTATTTGATGCAATTGGGAGGATCGTATACACTGACAGATGCTTGAGAAAGTCAACAGGGATCAAGACACAATCGTCCTTCCTCGCGACAACGTCATGCCGTATATAGACAGAAAATTGAAAGCCGTCCTGCAAGACCATCACCTACTGTACAATAGATGTGGTTAAATAAAAAAAAAGAAAAGCATATATTCGACGGATCTCGCTTGCACAGATTGACAAGGGCCTGGAAGGGTGAGTTCCTTAATATGAAACTTACGGCGAAAAGGAATAAATAAACAGGATTGAGGAAGCTAACGGTGAATATATATTACATTAAACTGCTGCTAGAATTCAACAAAAGAACGTTGATTTTTCAGAAGAGAAAAAAGCTATTTGTGATGATTCAGCCCAATATGTGCAGTGAATCTCGCAGACTTTCTTTACTTCAGTATATTATATCGTATGTCTTTATTATTAAGAATTAAAATGAATTTTTTTTTATTTACCAATGATATTCAATAGGATAGATAAGGGTTCCGATGATAGCTAAAGACCAGAAACCAGAACAATTTTTCTCAATCTCCAATATGGCCATCAAAAGGTTATCAATGTAACACGTGGAAAAGCAAAACGCAGCAAATAACTGTGTTACCAAATAGTATATTTGTACTATAGTTCTTCTGACTACTTGTTCTTGAATCAATATCGTAGAAACAATTGATTTTATGCAGATTTGAGCTTATCTATATGTAGGATGTAGAGTACATACATATGCTATAGGTACACGTATACATAGTGGAAATGGTATGATAAAAAGAACTATTGCTTTTTCCGCTTGTGAGCCTGCTCAGCTCTGAAAACACGGACTGATTGTCCCGTTGTTTTCGCAGCTTTACATTTATCACGTAAAGATAAAAACGAATCAAAGCATATTATTATTATTAAGGTTGTTATTATGAAGCATGTTATTCGACGAACAGCTCTTATAGAGCATCATATTAACTGCATGTTGCGTCCTTGGAGTAATTTTCTCTTAGTACGCAAACCATTAACAGGTAAATTACCCTTTAGGTAGTTTGCATAATAGTGGGCCTGATTTTCGATAGGACGCTAACAGTAAGGACGTACTTTGTTCACATTTATTCTTGCTTCTGTCATTTCGAGACTTCTGGTATTACGTAGGCGTGCTTTTCTGTGTATGACTGAGCGGGGAATATCGCTACGATAAAATGACGTTTTCTCTTAATAATATTTGCGTTGACGACGGGTGTACCCGGTTTTTTTGAAAGAGACGACTGATGCCTATGTAATGATGATTATTTTCCGGTGAAAAGTAGTTGCCTTAAGCAAAATCACTCCGGTAGCCAGAAAATTAAAACCTTAATTCTGTTTAAGATATCTCCTTTGCACTTTCGAGCACTCATTTTCTACACGGCTGTTCTGATAAGGGCTGTAGTGCTATATCGTTAGTAGAACGGGGTGTACGCGTCTGATTTTACAAACATGTTTAATTCATGTCAGGTCAAACTATCTTTTGCACCGACAGGTAGACGTTTGATTTTATTCAAACGTCCTTTACTTAAAAATAAAAATCGTAGATAATTTTTATGTTTCGCATTATGGTGGCTTGAACAAATTTCTTCACAGCGAATTGTCCATGCGACATGACATCTGTCCTCTGCTGTCTATCCCTATTGAACATCTATTCTCATAAATACAGCTCTGGAGGTCGCTTAAGAGATCGTTATACCCTTTTTATGACGGTGGGGGCTATGGCCGAGCTGAAGCCTTGTGTAAGCGTCCTCCACAGTCTGGTGCTTCCAATAGATACATTACCCGGTACAGATGAAAAGTGCTGTATGAAATCCCGAAATGTTATGGGTAGAATATCATAGTTTCGAAACTCAGAGCAACCATTAATGTCAGATCTTGGTCAGACCCAGCCAGCGTCTCCAGTAGGAGTGCCAGAAAGTGTTCGGTAATGTGAGTAGTATCCTGTGAACTCGAGACCTTAACAAACGTTAAAAAAACTGGTAAGGGATATGTTTGATCTATTCTGTATAATATTTGAATAATTAGGCTTTTTTTCTCTGCAAAAATAGGCAGACGAATAAGCTGACACGATGTTAATATTATCCAGAATCATGGTAGTCCGTAATTATGAGCCTATATACTCGTGGCTTTCTTTCAGGTGAGCGCTGCCTGTTTGGTACTCGCCTTGCTGTCTTTTAGTTTTCTGATGTTGACGCTTTTTCGGAATGCGATTTATCGAAGGAACGCGTCCATTTTGGCTATGAGCACTCTGTGGTTAGTAGCAGGCTTTTCATTGGCACCATTTGCTCTACCGCCAAGTCCAATGGAAGTTGAAGAAAACCATTCCGTAGCAGTTGGTAAGCTATCAACACCTTAACTTAAGGTTCATCGTAATTTAGTTCTGTTTTAAAAAGGCCTTTGTTGAATTGTCTTAGCCATCTAAAATTTTTTTCTATACTATATGCTCGATCGTTTTTTAGTGGGTTTTTTTTTTTCTAAATACCTTTGCCGGCTGTTCTTCTTAACCTAAATACGATTGCATTCTCATAGCATATTCAACTTAGCAGAATAAAGTTCATCCTTTGGAAATGCGCCCCACGCCCATCGGCCCATTGGTTCGTCGAGCCTGACTGAGCGTACACAATTTTACCCGCATTTTGTTGAGAAAAAAAAGTTTACTGTGATATATTCCTGTATATTGATGGTGTATATATATATATACACCGTCATGATATACAATGATGATAATATGACGTTATAGAGTATTTTACGCCGATATAATGACACTTTAAAGTTAGTAGCCATGATATTAAAGTACGCGGAAAACGAGAAATATTATCATAAGATTTGTATTTGGTCATTATCAAGTTTTAACGATATAGTTGCAAAGATATCAGTCTTTGCCAGTGTAGCACGCGTTGCGCTCTAGCTAGCGTCTGCGGTTGATTTCAAGTAGAATGGCTTGACATATCAAGCCTACCTAACTTGTTTCTCTTCTACCTGGTCCTTCTCTTACAACAGGATCGTTTTCGATCTGTCTGTCTGTTCTGGTACTTTCCTACACTCTTGTGGGACCACTACCACTGTACATGATATGCATCTTCGGTGTATTGTACTCGACAGCTTTCGAAATTATGTCCTGGTTCGTCCTGAACCACGTTAATACTTGGACAATCCTCGCAGTCAGGTTGGTGTTTTAAGGTCTATCATTCCTATACAAATTAGTCAATGTTCCCAATTAGCTTTTACATCAAATGTGTGCGGGTGTTTATGGTAGCGAACAAGTTTTATATATATATATATACATATATATATATATAATAACAATAATGCCTTATTTAAATCGTTATGTATATACAGGATTTTGTTGCAGCTATCTATCCATATTCTTGGTATCAAAATTCGTCTATTAGCCGAGACTTCCATGCGCAACACATTCTACAAAGTGGGTCAATCGCTATTGGTACGACGCGAACTTGAGTTAGAGAAGCATCTGAAGGAAAAAATGATTCATTCTGTTATGCCTCCATCGGTAGCTCAGTGGCTTATGAAAAACACAGCTGAGGACGGTGACGAGCAGCAAAACACTGCAAATAGTGTGCCTATGCATCCGATCCAAGCGGCCGATAGGCCCCTACATCAGCTGCCGGTGAACAACGTTATATTATTAATAGAAACGAATTAAGGACAAAAATCGTTAATGAAAACTGCAAATATTTATAGTCATGGATACACACGAATATCATTATTATCGTACAAGTCAACAGCTCAATGAAAATATGCTTCTTATTGTAATTCAATCTAGAGAATTAGGAAACTATATTTTTTTAAGAGGAAAAACGTTTGTAACAGGTTTTTTTACGAAAAATTATGAGTAAATAAAGAAGCCGACCGCATGCGCTACCAAGCATTTTTTTATCAGTGCTGTTGGTACCTGATCTAGTCTATTGTCTGTTCCCCCCTTTTTTTAGATTTTAGAAGGTCTTAATTGGTGTATTCCTTCATTCGACAATGACCTAGCTTAAATAGAGAGCAGCTTTGCTACTGCAGGAACTAATAGGACGAGAAGTTCACTGTGTTTGTAGTAACGCATTACCACAGGTCCAAAAATATCTAAACCTGCGTATCCACGGTTCCAGCAACCTCGTTCATCTAATCAACTGACGTTCCGGCCATTTAATATGCATCGAATGCAGAATGTATCAATCCTGTTCGCCGATATTGTCGGATTCACGAGTATGTCAAGTAACAAGACAGCGCATCAACTTGTTGGACTTCTAAACGACCTGTTCGGGAGATTCGACTTTTTGTGTCAGAAAAACGGATGTGAAAAGATCTCCACTCTGGGTGATTGTTACTATTGTGTGTCCGGATGCCCAGAACCACGGCCTGACCACGCAAAATGCTGCGTCGAAATGGGCCTTGCCATGATTACAGGTACATGTTTGTCGAGTTCGTGTGCGATTCCCTGTCGAATATGAAAACAAAAGAAATGTGTAACGATATTTAATAATTCGATAATCCACTTTATCTTCTTTTTCGCTTGGGTACCTTGAAGGTTGTTTCGCCATTATTAAAAAGCAAAACTAGCCTTATGAGTCAGAATAGTAGGTCTATGCTTCTATCGAGTTGTCCGCAATTTGGAGCCTTTATCAAAACCTAGAGATACCCGACGTCAGAGGGGTTTTCAAATCTTTCACATCGTTTGCTTTCACTCACTGACCAATAGTATAATCCAGCTGAATCAAGAGGACCGTTCATTTGGGTCTGGCTTATTTTTACCTGCTTGGATAGAAAAGGTTCATATAATTCTCGTTGTTAATACTGCCGTAGAGGAAGTACTTTGATTTAGAATGAATAGTATAAGACCTAATCTGTTTTTCAACGTATATGGTTTCAGCAATTAGAGAATTTGACGAAGATAGTGGGGAGTCAGTAAATATGCGAGTTGGTATACATACTGGCACCGTGCTTTGCGGTATCGTGGGAACGAAACGGTTCAAGTTTGATGTATGGTCAAACGACGTTAAATATGCTAATCGCATGGAAAGCACAGGACGTCCTGGTAAAGTACACGTATCGGAGGTCACGCATGAACTTCTTCTGGATCAGTACCACTTTGATGAAGTACCACAAAATGTGAGTTTTGCAAAGCCACGTTTATTCAACTCGATTTTTTTTTAGCTATGATTGTTGAAGATTATTCTGCCCCAAGGGTCATATGCGAATGTTTGTATTAATTCACTAATAGAGTTGGCTTACCTTAGATTATACCAAAACATAGTTATGTGCTACGCCTACTCTTAATTTTTTAGAATATGCCCTATGCTTATATGCTTCGGCCCTATGTACTGTGCTGAGAGTCTAAGTATAGTCATCGTAAATATCGTTACATATAAAGCATTTTTACTTATAACAATAATATTACAGAAAATGGCTAGAAAACACATCAAAGGACCAAATAAATAAAATGTATTCTTTCAAAGTAAAACTAAGTTTTGCTCGCGCCGAGCTTTTTTCTTGTTGTCATTAACTGCACGGCCATCATCAGGAACATGACAACAAATAGAGGCCGACATGTGCCCAGGTGAAATCAACTAGTGGCATTCAAATATCTCTGCGCTATGCTTATGATGATTCTGTCCTAGTGAAGTAGAATAAATAGCAGTTTTTTACAACCATATTTGGTAACGTATTCTTTGGTTTTGATCAACGGCCATATCTAATTCCTATCTGGCCTTCTACGGTTCATAATGAGGTCCTCAACAAATGGCCTTCCTTTTCAAGTATAACTTAGAGAGTACCAACACGAAGTGTTTTCTATTTTACACTGCACTCTGCCCCTTCGGATGAATACATGCTGTTCCTAATATTCTTGTACTATACGTCAGCTTCGAGTTAGTAAATGCTAAGTTGACCTGTAACTTATTCACACCGAAATATCAATTGAATATCGTTCTGGTAAATAGCATTTACGTCTACAATACAAATTCTTGTTTGCATGTGATAGATCCAGCCGTCCCTAAGCATTTTGTCGATTCATAGGAACGATGTCTTATTTCTATGTATCCGTATCTAAATCTGATTCTCGAAGGAGCAGGTTAGCTAGAAAAATATTCTTATATAATGCAAAAGGAATGCAACGTTGGAGCAGCATGACCTAACGTGTCATGCCTTCCGTTTGAAAGCCGCGCATCAGCTTACTCGTAAAGAAAATACGTTAAATCCTCTACGCCACGGAAACGCAATCTGTAATTCTCCAAGACAGCTATTATCTATAAATTGTGTCCTTATCATCCCTAATTTGCGGATGCAATTAATTATTTATATTACTCTTACTGTATATTCTAAGTAAGGAATCTTGCACGACTCATTCCTAATGAGTTTGTAAATGATGTTTCGTATTATGATGCTATATAGAAAGAGATAGACAGACAAACAGTGCACGTGCATGCATCTATGCACAAAGATCTGAGGTAAGCTTTATTATGTTACGCTACTGTAATAAATGTAAAGAGTACTTTTAAATAAATACATTGAAGCTTTAGCTCTCATAAATATTGCGGGAGCCTTTTTGGGATGGTCTCAAGTAAACCCTTGGCTCAGTCTGCGACACATTAGAAGTTTATATGCATTAACTGCAGATCTTATTTGAAAAAATAGAGACATTTTCATATGATTTTCTATATGAAAAATAATTCGACTAGTTTGATTGTGTCTAAGCTGATTACAAGACTACCTCAGGTCAGTTCGCTTCTCCTAAAAACGACTTGGTAACTCAGCGCTCGCTGTCTAACAAAGCTGTAAATACGCTGGCCGTAACTTTTCTTCTCAGAAGCAGCGGATTTGTTTCCGCTAGCCAGATCAGAAATCTACTATGTGCTGCCTCTTCGTACGCTCTATCTGGTGAGCCGTGAAGAGCTTATCGGACATCCTGTACCGACTTCAAATGTCCCTTTAGAGATACTGCAAGCATCTTGCATGAGGACCACGCAATCGCTCAAATTGCTGCGATCATTGTTACCGGCAACTACCTTCCTAAATTGTACCCTGGAGGAATCGTCGTGCCGTCATGATCATATTTTTTCTTTTTTAACCTTAGAACATGTTCGTAAGCCTCAACGTGTTCTTTCACAAGAAAAACCCATATTATTATGCGACCGAATAATTCATCTAGATTTAATTCAAAATTGGCCTAGGCTGAAATATAGTACCTACGAAGAGCACTCGAAGGCTTGAGCTCCTGAGATTTACATAGCCAATTACATGGACCGGCTTAAACAACTCCTGAAATCATCTGAAAATAAGTCTCCTGTGTGTTTATGTGATACTTTTTAGCCCTTAATACCGTGAGTATAAAAATATTGATAATATTACTATATTACAGGTGTTGTGCAGATAACTTGTAAAATAACAATGATGGGTGATATCCCTATAACATTAAAAGCAGTTTTTGTTCATTTTTAATTGGTCAGGGAGAGAAAGACAAAAAGGAAAGAAAAACGTATTTTATCCGACATCGAAAGATCACAGGGGGACGCCATTCGTGGCCACGTTTCCAGGCGCCGATGTTGGCGCGTATAGGACCTCAATTGTCTGTCGACGCAGCTGCCGAAAGCCATCCTTCTCAACCGATGTCTGGAAGCAGCGACCCTTCAGATAACAGCCATGCGGCACTGAAGTAAGTACAGGATATAAACACGTTTGTGGTGTCAATGCACCCGTGTCGCGACGATGTCGACAATAAATCTAAATAAAGACGGCTGGAGAGCCGTCTTGTAGTGTCTAAAAAAACCATTGCCTTATTTAACGTTATATCCGTTTGTAAGATATACTTCAGTTTAGTTATATATATATATATATATATATATATCTATATATATATATATATATATATATATATATATATATATATACATATACATACACACATATAGTTTCGACTGAACGGTCAACATTTGCATATAGGGACTTATTTAATAAAGTTGAATAACCGGTACGTGAGTTCACCATGGCTTGTACGGCACGTGTGTGCATGTATAAATTGAGACAAAAATGAACACATGTTGAGCATGAAATCTAAGCTTTCCTGATAACCGTAGCCTTTTCGAATACGCACCATTAATTTTTATTTTCTAGTTAGTAACTTCTTTATTTCGCTAAAACTCTAGTGATCCACACCTGTATTAGGCCAGTTGTACATTTGCTTCAGGCTCGCGGGTGCACTCAATCTTTCCGCTCTAATTTGAAAATGACCTATCACATCAGGGGGCTGGGTAATGCGTCACCATGGTAAGCATGAGCAAGTATGCGGTTAATACTCGTTCCATTTTAGCGTTGGTGAAACTTTTTCGACAAAGCATCATAAGTACGAGGGCCTATGATATAATGGGCGAAAAGATGTAAAAATGCTGTTCGTATGGTCGCCATGCCGTTTCATAGGTCTGTTAGAGAAATCCCAGACGAGTCCGCCAGGACCCACCCCCCATTGGACCCCTAGTGGGAACAAGCGTTTCATGCTATACCGAAGGGGTGATCCCGAGTACTTGTTTACATAAAAGGGATAGCTAAATTAAAAAAAAAAAAAAAAAAAGAAAAAACATAGAATATCATTGTAAAAACGTCAGTCAATTTGTTTTGAATCAGTCATCGTAACGATCAGTTGATTTCAGTACGTTGATTGCCCTCGTTACACTGTCCGCTAAGGGTGCGAATCCAAAAGAACGGTAATCTCTTTAGAAAACGACAACTGTATACGGCAAATTGCATTGATTAGTTATATACAAAGATGTTGTCTACAACAATTAGAACAGATTCAGCCACTGTAATGTACTTCCTACCGGGCCTTGCCTTTCGATAGCAACAGTATCCGTAAATGATCTACGGATTGTGGAACCCGCCAACCACAAAAATACTGCACTGGAAAAACTTAGTGGCGCAATGCTCGCATCATAAGGGAGCAAAACTTAAACAGCCGCACAAGGTTAAATCTAAACATGTATATGGGAATATTTAAATGTATTTAGATAGGTACATGTGGAAATAGAACGATCAAAAATATACTAACTAGAGGACAAAGTGGACAGTTCAGATTAAGCCGCTCATCTTCAACAAGTCGCGCCTATTCTCTATAATTTTCGCCTTCGGCTCGTGGGCGTTGCTGGCTAGGGACATCCAGGGATTACCACTGGTAGCTAATCTGACGGCTTCGGAAATATAATCGCACAGGAAAACGGTAAGACGACGAGCGACGGCTAAAACGGGTGGAAACAGCGCCGGCAGTTGGCGCGTGTTTACAAAAATTATGCTGCTATAAGTATTATTACCAACTTAGATAACGTTTGATTAGTAACAGCAGCATAGGGTCACCGCAACGAACTAACAATCATCATTATCATATTCTTCTTCGCTGAATCCCGTTAGTTTTAGAGATCTGCAACAATATTGTTTTTCGTTGTCCAGACTTACATGACAATGTCACCAGCCGATTCGGATCGCTTGTATCTAAGGGACGTCTTGTGTAGGACGAGAGAAGTTAATACTTATGTTGACTATTTGGCGGGTTTGATAACTTGTATTAAGCGAATTAGGTCATGCAGCGATGAATGAGACGTATATATGTAAAAAACAATATATATGTAATACAAATTTTTTATAGCAACTCTTTTTTTTTTTGCTTCTTGCATATAACTTATAGACTCAGATCCATTCCTGTCCGACATTCCCTGTCGGACCCCCGAAGGCCCCACGGACACTAACATTATTTAAGTAATATACACTGTAGAAAATCATTGAGCGTTATTCTAATTAGATATTTTTTAGTTTACTGTCCAAATCCATAGAAAGGCTCATGATCAGTACGCATCGTCTAGAGAATTGGCTTAAAGGTGGTTCTGTAGCGTCCGCGAGAATTGACTAAAATTGACACGTTCAGGAACCACGAAGAGTTTTTTAACAAACCATTTGAAGTAAGTTAGTTGCAAAAAAACATCCATTGCACCGAAAAAATTATTCGATCGTATTACCAATGGCAAAACGCACCGAAAAAGGAACGAAATTAAATATTTCTACAGCGGTTGATCACGGGAACTTAACGCGGAATAAAAGGTAAAGTTATGTATTTCGCAGTTTGTGGTTAAGCCCAGACTGATGCCGAAGAAGGCAATACGATGTGTTTGGCGGGACTGGAAATTGATTATACAGTATAAGTTGCTGTTCCCGTCTGGCAAAACTGATTTTGCTATTTTAATGATTGATTGGCGCCATTACTGTCAATAACTAACAAGATTACAAAAAGTTATTGGAACACATCGATCACAGCCATCAAGTAGAAAAGGTGTCGTCCTCCACTATGGCTATACCAGGCCGCATACATCTTTAGTTACCCGGCAAAATTTCGAATAACTTAAGTGGGAAATTTCAATGCATTCGCCGTATAGGCCGGATCAACAGGCTGTTGTCTGTTTTGGCCATTGCCGAATGTAATAAGGTCTCAATAAAGGAATGTAAAAACTAACTTATCGCAATTTCTAGTCCAAAAGCCACAAAAATTCTACGAGTACCGCGTCATCAGAAAAATGGCAGGAGGCACTCGACAAAAATGGTGCATATTTAATATCGTCTAAAATATATTCGCGTCCATTTTGGCTCATAAACAGTAAATTATTTTTCAAAAACCCGATATATATATATATATATATATGATAAGGCATTCAAACTTGATTAAGCTACTTCAAACTCCTTGTTTTGGTACGTCCGCTATATTTAGCACCGGGAGAAAACCAGTTGCTTCTAAAACAAGACCACAAATACATCATGGCGAAAAACAGTGCTCTGTTGTCTCCATTTGAGTAAAGATTAGCTATTATGCAATGTCTTCACGCGGGACGAACCCACATCAAGATTGAAAACTTCTTCTTTTGTCCGAAGTGGTCTACGTTATTAGCGGTTCTCATGCGCTTCTAAAAAGTCCGAAAAAAACTTCTATGAGACGAAGCTCCTCAAGTTTAAGATTTAAAAAGTTCGAAAATGTATTAAAATACTTCACAAAGCAATTTTTCATACATTTGTATTTTTCTTTTTTGCAGGACGACCGTTCAGCGGTAGAATATTTGCTAATTATTTAGTCTAAATAGACCCTTTTTAAACTTTTTTGACTAGTTTTAGCCTTCGCATTTTCGGGACTTTTACTTTGCTATAAGCTGAAAATTTCATTCAGCTCGAAGTGTTTGTAGTTATGCTTCAAGCAGTTTACACCTAACAATATTACGTTTACTATTAAAAAATTAGTTGCGGATTAATAATGCAGAATATCTCACAGTATTTTTCTGCAGCGTAGTGGATTCAAGCGGATGCAATTGCAGCCGCCGCAGATGCCATGTATTTTTTTCCTTTTTTGATGTAACCAGCGCTCGTTCCGCGTGTGTATTGCATATTTATTTTCCTTTTATTTTTTTTTATTTTTCGGACAGTGGGTTCAGGAGTTGGTATTATATAAGGTTCACTCGATTCAAGTCCCTGGATATGATGAAGTCAATATCATTTAAAGAAACCTATATTTGTAGCTGTGCGCCTTCTAAGCACCGATTTCCTAATCTAGTCGAACAATTAATTTTGGGTGTTATTAATTAAAAACCCATTGTAAATACGAAGCAAAATCTGAAAACTGATGTTGCAGATTCACTCTTCTTTCATAACACAAGGAGATCTTCGAAGTCAAATGCTTCTTGTAAATTTTGCAATACGCGATGGTTGTCTCGCAAAGCACAGGAAGAGCTTCATATATAACACTTGACCGTAAGCAACAGAGAAGAGATATAAAATCAAGAACAACTATTACTTTCATAACAACCCAGTAGTATCCCAACGGAAAATCGTCCCTGTCACTCTTGCTGCATCATAAATCATATACCGATGAAACATTTACAGACAGTAACATAAACAGGTTGCTCACGTCCCATTCGCTCGGCGTTTTTCTAGCAAGATTCTCTAGAGAGAGTATTCGGTGGATCACGATTCTTTTGTGGTTTTAAATGGAATTTACAGTCTCTTACGTATGTCTATGAAGCGATTCCGATCACTCTGAACGGTTCCGTGGAACAGGCCAAATAGTATAATTTACTATTGGTTTCCGATAGAGTCGTTTCGCCTCTACTGTGTGACCGCGTGACCGGTGGTTCTTTCTACTGCAGTCTCATATACAGTGTGGTACTAGTGGGTAGGTCACTGTTGCACCCCAAGTGCAGGGTCAATCTTTGCTCAGTCATATCAATCGATCTTTCTGTTCGGCCATACATTGCCGTTTGTAGAAAGCCTAGTTGGCTCTCGACGGGACGTATGTTGAGCGATTGCACCGTGCGGTACTATAACGAGCTGATGACTCTAAGAAGACGATACTATTCTTCATTTTTCCCGTTCGAAAAGGCATGGTCGTTGATAGACGCAATTTTGAGTGCCGGAAACGTCTAGGGGCCTGACAGATTGTCCGCTCCAGCTGTAGTTAAGGTAATGCAAAGTGCAGTATTATCTACCATTAAGGCAACACCAATAGCCACTTTTCGACTATACTGACTATTATTCCTGAGGCAGGCAAACTCTTTTTCTCTAGACACGACTACGGCGTACCTTAACACTAATTATCGTGAAACATGTGTGTCTAATAGTATCTAGTAACGGTTTAATAATTAGTTCTGCTTTCGAGAAGCACTGCTCCGCCATACGACACAGAATTAATAATGAATGAATTAAATTTATGTTGATATTTTTCAGCACAAGAAAGGCAAGCTGTCCTCCGTTGAGCGAAGAGGCGAACTCTGATGAAAACGATGAAGATTGGATTGGTGAAGAAGTGGTTTTTCATCCAACTTTGGCACAACCATTACCGTGGCATCATCAAGCTAATAATCAAATTGGCAATCAGTACGACCTACATAACCCAATAGTCGGGGATGCGCCTCCTCTTGGCGCGGGTGGTCCAATAGTAATTCCAGGACAACCTCGGCGACATTCGTCCCTTTCGACCCTGTATTCTCGGAAGGATTCGGGCGTCGTTACTGCCCGAAGCAGTATACAACTGGAATCGGTATGCGGGTCTATTTAATAATAGTTTAGGTAGGCACCTTTACAGAAGATAAGCAAGCAGGTCGTCTGAACCTGTCTAAGACGAACCTTTTTCTGATGCATCTCAGCACCGTGCTGGTTCACGGTAAAGATGGATTGTTTTCATAGAATCAGATAAGTACGATGATGGATATAACCTTCGGCGTGTTGGCGTACGCTTATTTAAATTGTCCATAGTTTCCATTTTCTACAAAATGATACATTCTACAATTCTTACATTGCAGCAGTTTCCTTAACTTCTATTACACGGTTAGTAAAAACCGAATGTATGCGTTGGAACATCTAAACGAATTAAATGTTATAACAAAACGCGCGAAGTTTCTGGCTAGACTCTGTTCAATGACGCCGCATTCAACGACCCCGTCATTGAGGCGGGATGTTTCTTCTGCGAATACTTGCACAAACTTTCTAGGAGACAATCATCGACAGTGATTTTCAATTATGTTGGCATTATTGTACAGGGGTAGGCCCTTTTCTTAGAGAGACCTAACACGTTTTTGTTGTTAGTTAATTGAGGGGCGTGCATTGAAACATCTATTGTTCGTTGTTTTGCCGGTCTTGAGCATGCGTGCGTTTTTGGATTAATCTCATGCTTGTCTGCTTTTCTGCTTGACGATACCGCGTATATGTACGTACGCGTATATATACGCACGACAATGCGTATAGACGGCGGTGGAGATTAATGTCGATCGGCGGGGAAGAACGTCTACATCGACTGGACGCAGCTCAGGAGTTTCCTCAATAAGGGGCTACTCTATCTTCGGGGAGGATCCCGCTCTCTCGTTCAGACAACAAATCCGTAAGCAGAGCGATCTGCAGATGATTCGGTAAGTTTTCTCTGGCATGTTTTTACTCAGAGTTTGACCTTCGCCCAAAGAAATATGGCTATTTTATCCCATCTAAGCATAAGTCCAAATTTGCTTTTCTGGCCTTACATAGGCTTAAAGGGTGCAGCAGGCAACCGGTACACGTTATTCTTTGACAACGTCTTACAGTATTGTTGCGGCTCCAATTCTGGTAATCAATCTAGATACGTTGTTTTGTAGGATTTTTCTCATCATCGCTCATGTTACTGTCACCTCCAGACCAGAAAATAACGCTGAATGAAAACCCCTTGTATTTGCTTGAGCATATTAACATCCTCTGTACGTACGGTTTTGAAGGTTTAAGTCGATGAGAAGTTCCAGTTTCCTTAAATCATGTTACTTTCAGCGTATAGGGAAGCGACTTTTGTCAGCCGTTTTGCCTTCGTACCTACCATTACCCCGACTGGGCGAATCCGCATCATTAGTGCATGTTTAGTATATTGACACGTTTAAGTCATATAAGAACTACAATACATGATCTCTTCGAAACTGTAAGTTATTTATCTAAGGTATTTTTAATATTGGAACGCTCATGTTCTAAGCTGCCGGCGATCCGTAGCTCTCAATTCAGCTTCTGAAATTCTATCTAAAGCCTGGCCGTTTAGTAAAATCCGACTAAACGTTAGTGTTTGGGGGTAAGCTGGCTCGATATGGCCGCGTTTACGGGAAAGAAAATGCTGGCGTCCGTGGGTACGAAATACATCAGCACATAGCAAAACGATACGATGAAACGTGTATGGATATTTTCTGTTAGCCATGATATGGCCGAGTTACCTTTTCAAGGAATAAAATTATTGCTGCCTTTGGCCTGCCTGAATGAACCCATCAATTAAATTCAGCCTTCTGGACTTATAAGTGGGTTTGCTACGCAGGAAGGTAAAAGTCTATTTTATTAGTGGAGTAGTTGAATTCGTTTGATATTTACCTAATTGCGATGAAACGCTTACTGCTGATTATTTATAAAGATTAATGAGGCGTTATGTGAAACATCTGAATCTTAAATCGCCGCCTGAGAAATTCTCATGTACCTGTTCTGGTCGGCCAACCATCGGTCGACCAGTGGCCTTGGATCTATAGATAGATAATATAGTCGTCTACTGCTGCTGCTGCTGCTGTTAACGTGAAACTTAAATCTAACGATGCTGACTCAAATAACGTATTGTTAGAAATGGTCCTTGCTCCTTTGGGATTGCAGTCAGTCGTAATTTTACTAGTTACATATCTTACTTCCATTAAATAACTGGAGCTCTTAAAGCCCTTAAATTGAACCGTTGCGGCTTGAATAAGTAGGCTTGTGTGAACGCGCGACTAGCTTTTGAAACCTATGGTTGAAATAGCTTTTTCTAACACGACGTTGTACTTTTTGTCTTATACATTTTAATAGTTAAACTTATAAATGTTCGACAATTTCAGGTGCATTCAACAGGACTGTGCAGACGCTGAACTTTTTGTCCATCCTCCGGTCCATAAATTATCGCTCTTCTTCAAGGATAACTTCATTGAACGTGGTTACCGGTGAGTTTTGTGTTTCCCATTTAGTGTAAAACCCTGTTGCCATTGAAAAGTCGGCCTATCTCAGCAAATGGTACATACGACTCGAGCGTAGCAAATTCACATACACGGGAGCGCGACGGAATTCATTTTTGGGTGTCACAAAAAACTAGCGAGAAAGCAAGCCGTAAATTGTACCGGACCATTTATAGGAATGAGTTCTCGATAACATATGATTAGGCGTCACCACTATCCTTCTCGATGATTAGACTCCTGTGGTCATCTTATGTTTTATAGGACACTGAGTACTCCGAAACCTACCACTAAATGCCTTTAAGGCCCTACCTTCCTTCCCGCCTATGGGTATTCAACTCAACTGTGTTCTGGTCTGTAAATTGAACTAATCATTATAACAGTTGCAGCGGAGAGATTTTATAGCAAGCGGCATAAAGGTGTATGTACGATAAGTATAAAAAAAGTATGTGGTACATGAAACGTTTCAGTGAAATTGCTTAGAGTTTGCTAAGAGATATGCTAACTATGGTAGTTTTCTAGATAATGTTTCATTTTTAGTTAGGGCTTTTTTTTAGTATTATCAACAAGCTAAACTGCGTCTCAGCGTTATGTCAAAAATAAGATTGAATCAATTGACATATTGCGTTAAAACGGGAACGTAGCAATATTGCACCGCCACTGTCTCACTCACAGTCCGTCGGGGAAGTGTTTCGAAAAGTTACCGAAAAACACTCTGGAGTAAAGCACAGCTGCCCATTTAAAACCATACACATTTTAGTTTACAAGCTGTAGATAGTACGCAATATCTTTTCAGTACAGCAGGCCTGTCTGTCCTCTAATATGCAAATGTATAGAAATGATTTTAATGCGATCTACCTTGTAGGAGCATGTTCGAGCAAGACTAAAATATACTTGCACAATTTGACTAGTCTGAAGCCTACTAATTTATATATTCTCGTTTTCGAGGTTAAATTTTGAGCAGTAAGAAGCGTCCGATCTTGCCGTTGCTTCACGGAGGTAGTGGTTTCATGGAAAGCAAATACTTTCGTCGTTACTACCGGCCAAGTATTAAATAAACTTCCCTTTATTTAAACGAAATGAAAAAAAGCTTGTAGATAGAAGAACGTTAGATAAGAAGGTTCCATAAGAACCTTCAGTCGAGCGCTGGCTACAACGCCTAATCTGGCATAACTTATTGTTGTGTCGGATGGTAACCTGATGGAATGAATAGTGTATATCTAAGTATCCATCAAGTCGTCTAGTAAGTAAAAGTCTGTGACATACACAAAATGTCTTAAGCCTTATGGTGCACTGCATTTGTATCGAAACTAGCTTTCAAAGATGGCTACGCGGATCTGTCGGCAATGACAACGCCTTTTCTAAGAGTTAAATAGCTTTCTAGGTAGGTGATATTGAAACTAGTTCGATACTTTATGACAGATTTGTGTATAAAATGTTAAATTTGTGATCTAAATCTAAATATCCTTTTACGTAGAACTAACTATTTCTTACTAGTCGAGCAATGACTTATTTTTGCGTCAGATGATATCGGAAGTTATTAACGAAGTAGTTGGTTCGTTTCGAGGAGAAAGTTAAGAAGACCATGTTTTGGGATTTAAAGTGCCCGACCAAAATTATGATTAAAGTTAATACTAAATTGCATAACCTTTCCAGGGATAGACTTCTGGGCCGCGAGCTATATCCCACATTGGCGTCCCCTACGTTCACAGTTTATCTGTGTACCGCCGTGGCGCTAATTTTCTACTTTGTTTCTTTGGTCACTTGCTTTATGCTGTTTCCGACACCAAATGCAGTATTTTTGAGTTTCTGCTTTGTCGCATCATTCGCGCACATCGCCGTTGCAATGGTCTGCCTACGTGAAATTTTGGCAATGAGAGGAAATTGGCAAGCGAATGACTGTTTCACTGCAACCTTTCGGTGAGTGCGAACGCTGTCTATTAGGTAAACGCATAGGAGACGCGTTCTGACGATAATGAAGTTCGTGAGATATCGTTACTATACTTGTTTTATAGAGTCCGCTAGTGATTATAAGTCAACCTTTAGGATATGTGCAGCTTTTCTGGAAACTATTCATATTTTTTACGATGTATCTATTTCTCTATATGGCTTTTAATCTCCACCTTCGTAATACTATCTGTGTCGCTTTTTACTAGAAATATCGAAGTGTTCGATTCAAGCTAACATCTTCCCTATATAATAACCTACTATACAAATCCGATTATATATATATATATGTATATATCACTCTAACAAAAAATAATGTAGGGTTGAATTAATGAAATTAATTGAAAATTTCAATAGTGCAATTTGTATATATTCGCTAAAATTGTTTATCGTTTGTAGCTTATTTTCCATAACTCTAACAAAGTGATAAGAACCCAGTTTGGGAGCGTGATGATTATCGTCCAAGTGTGACTACGAGAACTCAATTCATGCAGACGACAGCAGCAGCATTAGCCGGTACAGCTGCAAATTCGAACTGCGCGGGTTCCGTGTTAGGGAAACAGGGGTCTAGCTAGGCACCAAAAACACTGCTATACGTGACGTATCTGTCGTGTTGTTTGCTTGTTGGTTTGTAGGTACCTGATGAAATGGACGCCCCTGCATGTGGTTGGTCTATTCCTTCTGTGTGTGCCTATTCTGGCTGTATTCAGCAACTTCGCTTGCGACTCGTTCTTTAACAACTGGCAAGCAAGCGATGGTTTCTGCCTGTTGTCCTTCGCGTTCTTGCTCCACTTCACGAATTTTTCGCAGGTAAAATTCTGGCTACGATCCCTGTTCGCCACCGTCGCCGGATTAGCGCTGGTGATGTTTGTTGGTAAGCCTTAGTCTAAGCTTTACGGAACTAATGTTAAATGTCGTGCTAATTATAGCACAGCCTTTGAAACACAGCCTTAAGGCGTACGTTCTAGTTTCAATAGAATTGAAGGGCAGATTACTCACGCTTGAGTTTAAATTCGAAGTAAGACCTAAACCCGTCCGTTTTGGGCTTGTAAGTTAGTTTCTACCCAAACCCGTAACCCATTCACATCTGCTACGTAAGAATTCAAACAACTCCTTGTTTGAATTAGACATATTACAGCGTACGGAACCGATTGTCGGAAGACTTTATTGCGATCTTATAATCCCATCCCATGTTAGGTTTCTCCTTAAAATTTAAAACTATCTAAAGGTGACCTTAAAAATGGTAATTGGATTTTTGACTTTTCGTAGCCAGTAGCAAAGAAGTAAACATTCAGTCAGTTATACATAAAATATCAATCATCGGTCAAAAGTATTTGTATAACTTCTATTCGGTTCGTGCCTTCTGTGTCAAAAGTGGGTTTGACAATCGAAGGATAACGTTAACGTAACCTAATTGTACATTTTATGTATGTTGGGCAGGTGGGGTATTCTGCGACAGTTCACGCTGCACGGAAATATCTCGTCGCTCCTATCTGTGTCGTAATTCGGACAATATTATCTGGGATATTCTTGTCCACATTATTCTAACATCAATACTCGTTTGGTTGTTAAATCGCGAGTTCGAAACAAGTTTGCGACTGAGCTTTCACGGTGGCTGGCTCGCTTCACAGGACCAGAAACGCATGCAGGTCTATACGCATATAGTTTCTATTAGCTAGGTCAAAATAGGTTTAGATTGTCTTGCATGTAATTAGCCAATAGCCTAATTTTAGCCACGTGTCTATATCTAGTTCGTATGGTTTGACTCGTGATTAACTCAAGCACAAAAACTAACGTCGCGTGTTAGTTGTGTGTAAATTGAGGAGCGTCTTCGTTAGTGTTCAACCCGTTCGATGTGGGATTTGTCAATGAACTTTAATAGAATACTCAACTATCTGTATAGGGCGATTACTGGCCGTGTGGCCCGCAAGCGTAGCGGCCTATATTGATAATTGTGACGGTGTAACCCTGTGAGAGAGAATGACGCAAGCGCATTGCCAACGACGTAGATAAAGGCCCTTCTAAGGCGTACATATGCTCTCACAAAGACATCGCAAACCATAAACATCACAAAGTGAAGTCCAATACTGCGGGTAACTGTAATGCTAATTCTTCGGTTTTTTTTTTTGTGAATTTTTTTCAAGGCTACGAGTAACCTAGCGAATGTAATCTCAGCTTCTTCATTTGACTCTAGTTTTCATAATCAAGTATTTAGTTGCTACTGAACGTATGCACTAAGAGTGATCCTATTGTTTAAATCTATTCCGATTTGTATAGGTGCTAAAGCGTCAAGCGGATTGGCTCCTTCATAATATTATCCCTCGTCATGTGGTCGAGCAGCTGAAAACAACATCTCGTTATTCGGAAAATCACCGTGAAGCAGGTATTTTGTTTGCATCTATTGTTAACTTCCACGAACTCTATGACGAAAGCTATGAAGGTGGTAGAGAGTGTCTCCGGGTTCTCAACGAGCTCGTTGGAGATTTCGATGAGCTTCTAAGCAAGCCACAAGTAAGTTCTCGTTTGTTGTTACTATCGTTTTGTTTATTATGTTGAAAATCGTCAAGCATCTTGTCTCGGTCTCGTATAGCCAAAGTGTCGTAGATATTGGTCACTTGCATAATCCGTAGTTTTATCAAGTTCCAGTGCAACTATTAGGACGTTTTCCTTAATCCTGGGACCGATACTATATGGGACTATAGCACAGTATCATCGCTAATTCAACGGCTGATTAGTCTTGCCGCAATAGCTTCTAAAATTTTCCGCTGTGTCCTAAGACAGAACACTTTCTAGATTGCATCATAATCTAAGCATAGGCCTTTCGCCAAGTCCATAAGTAGCATATAGGCCCATTTCTGGCCTATGCCTACGTCTTTGACATTCTGTGTATTTCGGAGACGCTTTTGCTCTATGCAACAGTAGTGTTTTACCGCAGGAAATAGACGCATTTACTTAAAGTAGCCATTTATCATTTTGCTATGGCCAATGCGTATCTGGCCGAGATTGAGTAGTTCTGCTTCGTCTACACCGACCTAACCTGGAAGATCTAGTCTTCGGAATCAGCGTGCATAGAAAAAAAACAATAACATCCGGCCAAAAATCTCCTGAAGATGATACTTGCGACCAGCGTATGCGCTAAAGATTAAACTTACGATATTACAAGCTGCTGCTGTTGTTGATTCTGATCTATAAGTTGCCTGGCTATTTTTCGCAGTTTCGTAACGTTACGAAGATCAAGACGATAGGCGCAACTTTCATGGCCGCCTCCGGTCTCAATCCAAAGCTCCGTCGCGAGAATCCGCATCCCTTTACTCATCTCTTCGAGCTAATCGACTTCGCGCTTGCCATGCATAAAGTTATTGAAGATTTTAATTTAAATTTACTCGAATTTAAATTCATTCTTCGCATCGGCTACGCGCACGGCGATATTACCGCTGGCGTTATTGGTTAGTACAGGGTCACTCAATTAAATATAACATTTTTTCTTAGCACAATCATAATATTTTGAGGCCTACATTCGACGCTGCCTCTAGACATTGCTTCAGACCTTCTTTAAGCCCTAAAACTACCGCTACTACCAAAAAAATAAATGTTCCCCGTCGTACGTCAACTTTACCTTACTTTAAGGATAATGTAATCAAAAATAATTAACTGGTCGCACTATTATTGTCTGCCTCGTTCCGTGATATTATGAGCTCAGTAGAACAGTAACACATTCAATACTGATGGCGAAACTTAAGGTAGACGGTGTGTAGATGGGAAAATTTTCGTTTAACCTTTCGCTTTTTACTAGTTAGATATTTAATTGATAAATTTAAATAAAAATTTATATTATCACACTAAACGCGTAACAATAGAAAAAAATGACATTTTGATAGAAAGCTTTCTGCGCATTGCACAGAGCGAAGAATCCAAAAATGGAAACACATTAAAAATTGCCCAGAACGAGTTATCGCTGTTCCGAAAATACATTAGTGTACCACAGGTTCGACTTAGACACAAAAAAAAAAGAAAGAAAGAAAAAAAAGAAGAATTTCTAGTGTGTGCCAGTATCTATACGTATTTTTTTTGCTTTTGTTATCAGGCACTACCAAGCTGTACTACGACATCTGGGGCGATGCGGTGAACACCGCTTCACGCATGGACTCCTACGGAATGCCCAACAGGATTCAGGTAGCGTAAGAAATATACTTTGTCTATCTTGTTTCGTCCTAAGGAAGAGAAGTGTGTGTATGCAATTCACGAGCAAATAATAAAAGTACTATCTAATAGCACATCTTCCAATCTGGTGGATCATATAAGCCGGCAAAAGTAAGTTCAAGTCAGTATACGTTTATACTTTCAATTCTCAGGGCGGCATTCAAGAGGGCATACGTCTAAATTAGCTCCATCTAACGCACCCAGTCTGACTAAGTGTGGAGATAAGTTCTCCTAGTTGCTAGGATGCACCAACTGAAGTACGAATAGCGAGGTAACATACGCTTGCGTGGTCAGCAGCTTTTGTAGAGCCCGACCTGATTACATCGCGCATGTAAACATAACGGGTCCCTATTATAGATAAATATTTTAGCATTACCGGTGTAACCAATTAGATGGTTTTAGTAGAAGCTCTTACACACAATGAGCACGACCTCAGAAGTCCGAAAACACTTTACTTTGACTGTCTGTAACGAGGTAAGTAAGCAATGATATCTGCGCAAGATACCAGGTAACTGATTTGGTCGTTAGGTCGCTAAGTTTGATCGAGAGCGCTCTAACGAATCTGCTGATGCTGTATATCATAGGTGCCTGAGCATTGCCTACCGGTGTTAAGTGAAATGTACACCTTCAAAGCCCGTGGCTCAATGTACATCAAGGGCAAGGACCATATGAATGTCTACTTGTTGGAGAGCAAAAAAGGGAAGCAGCTGCACAAGATACCCTTCAAGCGACAGCAGACCATTCCTGCGCAACTTTAGAAAAAAAAACCTATTAAAAAAAACAATAAAACAAAAGAAATGTGTGCATGTATGTGTGTGTCTGTGTGTGTGTCTGTGTCTGTGTGTGTGTCTGTGTGTGCGTGTGTCTGTGTGTGCATGTGAGCGTGCGTGCGTGCGTTTGTTTCCACTGCATATCCAAAAACTACTCAAAAGGATGTTTATGTCAGATATTTATCCAGTGCTGAATATCTAAGCAATATAGCGACTGAACTTCTAATTTAATATGACAGGTGACGATGATCCATATGCTCTCTACTTAAGGCCGAGTGCGCACTTCTTGCAGCATTAAATACAAACCCTGATTCCTGCCTGAACTAATCCTTAAGCTACACCCTACCGTTATTGCATCACTGGACTACGCGTAGGTGTTATAAGTCCATTTGTTATATCTACTAATAGCATTCTGTTCACAGTAAATATCTCTCAAGAAGTAATCCAACGTCGTAAAAATAACTTATACATATAACTTCCGAAACGTTCGGAATGCCTTTGTCAAATACTGGTTTCGATCACTATAAAATGCAAAATACCGGACGTGATTGAGAACGGAAAAATGAACAGAGACCGATTTTGGCTCACTTGTGATATGTACATACACATTAAGAACCTAACAAAGCAAGCTACAGACACGTTATCTAGACACAGATAATTTCTACCAAAATTTCGATACAAATCAGCAAGACACAAACGAAGGCCCCGAATTGTATTTTTAGCTAGACAAGTAATATGTTGGCGCTTGTGGTAGACTCGACCTGACCAGCGGTATAGTTTCTCTATGAATGATAACTGCATATAGAGTACGTGTAGACGCATTTGAAGCTGGAGAGAAAGATGGCAAATGCTTGTAGGCTCTTACGATATAACTAAATAAAGGAACTGACTGTACATTAATGTGGGGTGTGATGATCAGTCAGCGTGGTCATTGCTAGTTGGCAGTGGAAAGCGGACTGGGCCTTGCAGTAACAACAAAATATCTTTCCATTTCTCGCATCCTGAGCCAGGTTTAAGCGGGGCATTAGCGGGGGTGAACATACGAAAGAGTTGCTAAGTTAAAAAGGAGCAAGAACAGCTACGGGACCAAACTTATCAGCGAGAAATCATTGTGGCGTAGAGAAGGGTGGACAAAATGGATCCTTCTCACCAGTGATGTCTACCCTTAAACTCTTGTCGAAAATGCAACTTTGCGATTATACCTTCAACTTATAAATAATACTAGCGATATTTTCAGGGGCCCATTAATAGACCTTAAAAAAGCTTTTCGTTATTGCAGAAGATAACATATTCATGAGAAAATGCTCTCCCGTTGCCATTAAAAAAGACACAACAAGATATCTATTTCAAACTAATCATCTGTATCATCGAGCACTCAGTCACTGATCATAAACCGTAAATACAGTTGTATGCATTTTTGTATAAAAAAAAATAGCCTCGGCACGATCGATATATTTTGCAGTAGAGACGATAACCATGCCATGGTAATGATGAGGAGCGCGTAGTTCATTTGCAGGGTCAGCTTGTCCCGGTCAGTTTATACGCCTAACAAACGTGTCTAAAGTTTAGAGGCAGTTCTGATGTCATTATATCTGGAGTGTATTTATCTTATCATTCGGATGGCTGTAGCTGAGTGACCAAGCTACTGTGTTCGTCAACATTTTCTGACGTCATGGATACTTTATCATCAACAATTGTTTACAATAACAACTATGAAACGAAATCAAATTGAATGGAGTATATGCCTCTTGTGTTCGTGCAGGAGAGGAACTCCACGATTGTGACGTGGCGCTACGATCGCTGTTCATCGCAATTCGAATTAGTATTAGCAACAATAGAAACGGATATGTACGCAATCAGTAACAACAACGATTATTGCTATACTTAAGAATTGTTGCTAATACTGTTACAATCGCATATTGTGATTAGTAGTATTGCCTTTTGAATTACCGCTGCGCGATGAGATATGAGATTTATCACTAGAAAAATCTACAATTAATTACTCAACAATTGTTAGCGTTCAATTTGCAGTGTGAGACCAGAAAGAAACAAGGCAACAATGTAATAACTAACAAATATAATAACAATAATAATACTTTACTTATATTCGTATGATACACAGTAGTATTTGTAGAATAAAGCCATTTTTATTGTCCGTAAATGCCGATGTAATTTCTGTTTGGAACTTGCTTGTAAATGCATGTATTGTAGGTTTTTTTTCGTCATTAAACACTATTTCCTTTTTTGGTGGCGCCCACTAGATTAGGCCAGTTAGGCTGTTACGTCGGCTTACTAATAAATAGATACAGGGGTATCGAAAGAGTGGGGTAGATGGCAATGTTTGATTCGATTTATTTGCGAGATTTTATATGTATGGTCATCTCTCGTATGAAATGATCGATTGCATCAAAGGTAAACTGCGCGACGCAGAATAAATTCGAATTCAAGTCTCCGCATGAATTATAATTTTCGTCCTGTAGTTTTTTGAATTTAGAACGATTTTTTATGTGCTATGTTTAGTCAAATCAATAGCACTTGCGTAAAGTGCGTAACGTAAAATTCTAGATAAGTTTGTGCAATTATTCGCCTTTGTATTACCATATTTTTTCGGTCTAAGCTGCAGACGCCATGCGAATGTTTTATTTTTTTAGCGTGTACGAACTAGACTAAGCAAATCAATGAATAATTTCGAAAGTAGAACAGCTTGGATAATTAAGATCATTCATTTGTATATTATAATGATCGTTTAAGTAATCAAAATATACAGAACATTATTGTATTTGTAACGTTCAATAGCCTGCCCGATGTTGCGCAGGCTATTAAGAAAAAAAAAAGTTAAAAAAGGATGACAGTTTTTAAAATGTTGTCTATAGCTTTATATTTTTTATTTTATGGTTTCTTCGTCTCGAAGTTGTAAATGGAAAACGTCTTTCATGCGCAGATAGGATTAGGCAAAAGCGTCGTTAACCTACCTCGTAATAGAAATTGTTCCATTCGTTACTGACTTTATTTTGGTAACGTAAAACATGTCTACTTTTCAACAGATACAAAATGCCACTCATCGTCTAACCCTATGATACTGAATGGCAAAATAGATCCTCTGAAGAAATTAAGCTTAGCCAGTGGATAGTAAATCTGATTTCGTCAGCCACTGGATACTATAGAACATCTAAACTGTGAAAAAATAACTAGATATTAAGCTTTGGAGATACTGCTCATTCGAGCCGTCAATCCCCAAAATATACTATGTGTCTGTAAAACAAGATTTTTCCCTATACTTTAGCAAGGAGTGCAGCCTTTCTGTGCCATATTTGTAATTATTCTAAAAATCAGATTTTGCCTACGATAAAGGTGTCCACTTTGTGGACTACCTTACTTTTACCATTTTGGCAAAGCCTAAGGTAAGGTGAACTGACCAAACCAAGCCAATGACAGCTTTTCTTGCATATGGTCACCTTTATCGGAAAAAAATTGCATCTCTAACAAAAAAGGACATTGCAGTACCTCTTGCTAAGCAATGGGCAACGAGGCGTCCAAGCGGCTTGATGTAGAAATGTCATCATTTTAAAATAATACATCGTAAGTTTGTATAATTTAACTATTTGAATTATTTGCGAAAAGTAACTGAACTCAATCCAAGTAATCGAACTACTGTCAGGATCATACTATCAAGCCTGTACCCCGGCATTTCAAACTATAGAAAACGGCACATTTTGATTCAAGTTCTAACGTATCCTAGGTCCCATCAGGGTACTGAATACATTTGATGAATGACGCTTAAAGGATATGTCATAATTGCGGCACAATCGTGGTATCTAAGTTGTATACGAAATGTTGCTTGCAAATCAGGCAAACCTTGACGGGCTATTTGTCGTAATGGACATGCTACTCGTGGAACCAGTCCTTTCTAAAATGAAGCAACAAACTCGTCATGACAAAGTACAATACGTCATTTTCGAAATTTTAGGTATTGTATAATCTCTTTACGTTGTGCAAAGCGTCAACGAAGCTAAAAGCTCCTTTTTTACTCGAAATCGGCATTTAGGTTGTTGCGAACTTCTAAAAAACCTGAGGACAGTTTTTGTGAGACAAATTGTAAGATCTCAATAAGGTTTAGAATTGAGGGGCTCCAAAATTTATCAAATGGTTAAAAATAATTTTTTTTTCTTAGACAGTAATTAACAGACGTTTTGGAAAGGGGAATATCAACTGGTGATTGGGTTGTCCGGATAAGCTCTTACGCTCAGTCTATTTAAGACGTTTGCGCCTTTTTGGCCGTTTTCAGTCCTTACATTTTTAGGACTTTTAGCTTGCTAGATCAAGAAGAAAGAACTGGAAGAATAAGTTGCTTGTAAGAGTTTCCGCATATTCTGTTGATCTACCGAGAGCTATTTCACTGAAATCGGTTTTCTCCGATAGTACCAAGTCGTAACTTCGTACAGGTATACAGGCTGCAAAGGTCCTGCGATATCCGCTGAGCGTAACTTATGAATCAATCGCAGAATCATTGCGTTTACGTTCGTTCTAGTATCGAACGTTACAACTATCTACTTACAAGGGGACTTCAACCATGACTATGCATAAATTACTGGCTGTCCCGTTTATGTAGGCTCAGACTGTGCTTCAGGCATTGGTGCGTAAAATGATTCCATTTCTGTAGTTACAGTATGGGCAGCCTCGCTGGTCGACGTTCATCGAGCCTTCCTACCATATCGCGTCCGTCATTTGCAGACACGGCTCTGCTAAAATTGGACGTCTCTCGGTTCCAAGTTGAATGAGTTTTTGAAAATCCGCCGGAGAAGCTTTAGGGAAACAAAGTTTCTTCGCAGAACTTAGACATGCTTCTTTCACGTTTTTTAGGAAGGCTTGGAAGTTTTACAGTAGCCTTAATTAATCCATCATAACCCATTAACCCAGACCTCGACGTGTCCCTAACATTAGCAGGCAAATATGATACCCACTAAGCTCTCATGGGGACACTCTATCGTCGCTTAGATTCCACTATTAGAGTATATAATATCTCAGTGTGCAAGTAAAATATCTAGGATACGGTTCATTTTTGAACAGCGCTCAGATAAGATTGTTGTCGAGTTGAATACCTTTTGAAAAACGTACACATTTTTCGAGGCATTTGATGGTAGCCATTAGAAGGCTGGTTCGATTTCTCTTCATTCTGGAAACGTTCCATATAATGGCTCTTGTTAGCGGGTGCTCTCCTTTATGCTACTTGGATGTATTTTAATCGCTGCGCTTATGGATAGGCCGTGCTCAGTGTGTCCGACAGCCTGTCGTTCGTGGGTCGAACCTTGAACGACCTTTGAATCTTACATTCGTGCGAAACAGTTCCCTTATACTAGTTTTATGCAGGTTGTTACAAGCAAAACGATCTATACAGGCTTCAACTGTATACATTCAAAAACGATTAGCAAGACATTACATGTAAAGTCTTGTAACTAGTCTTTACTTACATTTTGTGTGGTGTTGCATTGCTCAACTTTATTTATATTATGTATAGCGTTGCCTTAATAAAATTGGCCTTCGAAGTAGCGAACCTCCACTTCCTTCTATCCATTTTCAAGGAGAAAGAATCGAAAAAGAGCTTTATGACTTTCCTAAATTGTATAAACCCGCTTGCTTACGGAACTTGCTTCTGTAACTTGCCCACATGAATGAATATCTCTAGTTTATCGATGTTCTAACGGTTCTAGATATATATAATGGTGTTACAAGCTACTAGTAAAATTTTAAAGTTGGATAAAGTTCGCTGGACTCGTCCCTATCAGTTTTGATGCATACGCGAACGTTAAGAAAAAGTTTTACTTTAAGTTTGCCATTTTGACTTTAACTTGTACCATTACGCAGATTGCAAGCTTTGCTTATGTCATCAGCATCAGAGAAGAGGTACGCAACAGTTAACAGTGCTAGTATAGTACGTATTCTTACGTAACTTGAACTTTTAAGAACACTACGGGATACGTAACGTATCACGTAGTGTCCTTAAACGTAGTGTTCTTAAAAAACGGCCTATCTTTCTCTCTACACGAACGCGTAAGCCCGACCTTAAAGGTTCCCATATAAGCTGCGTGTGTAGAAGAAAAGGTTGTTTGGAAAGCACGAAACTATCCTTTCGAAACAGCCGCGCTTGCATAATCACGGAACCTTTTCTTGCACAGACGATCGTCAGTGAGCGGGTATGATTTACGCTCGTAAATAATCATACGCTCTGTAAACGCTTTTACAGATTCACAGAAGATTACGTGTCGCTTGCCAGCATAGAGACCAAAAGGAATGCATAGATCGCCTTATTGACACAGATCAGCGAAGGCTATACCGGAGCCTTTTCACGAAGTATGTCCTTTCGTGAAGGATCCACTTGCTACATACGGAACAAGTGTCACTTGGTACGCATTTTCGCTGATTATTTCCCCCAATGTTTACACTGCAAGATAAATGTCCTACGATACTACTAGAGATACCCACAGGCTAAAAAAAAAATATGGATTGCCTATTTGTATACAACTTTCTTCTTACCATTATAATTAGCAGGAAACGTCCGTCTGCTGCTTCGTTTCGTATTGTTAAATCTTCCTGCCGATTCACTGCACTAGAGCATGAAATTTTTGAAAGACCGATGCGAGTATTCATGTCTCGTAGATCTCTGTGGACTATAAGATCTTAGACCTCTTGCACTTAAATTTTGCTTTTGTACAAGAGATCATCATCGATGCTCCTGCAGTTAACGTGTGTAGCTATACTCCCGCAAAAAACACCAATGCACGAGAAATGTATATATATGTGTATTATTTATAGTATATATTGCACCACTATTGCTAACGCGTCCTCCTTAGCCTCTTTACGTCAAACGTTTTTTTTACATAGGAAGTTATTAGAATTAAAATCAATATTCTAATTTTGTCTTGGTGTAGGGTGTATTGAAACCTACGATAAACCGACACAGTTTAAGGCTGCTTCTACGGAAATGGTCGTTTCATATTGAAATGCTTGATAAAGGTACAGTCAAACAGCAGCGGCAGCAGTCGCCAGACAATATTGAAGCTTTTTTTTTGCCTACAGAGTACTTTTACTCCTTGTTGATTTCTTTATTATTGCCGTTCCGTACCATAAAAATGAACGGGTGGCAACAAGCGTATCTTTACAACCGACTCCACTCGGAATGAGGGGTCAGTCCTCAAGAAAAACCGAATTAGTTAGGATTAGCGGAAAGGATTCGTGCAGACATTTACGAAAACATAGGGACCACAGTAGCAAGTTTCTATTCTTCTATTCTTGAAAGAGATTAAATTGTAAAAAAATCATTTGGTGTGAAATTTCTACTTCGATAGAACTTTGTATGAAAGTTTTTTTTATCCAAGAGATCAAAACAAATTTGGTGGGTAAAGTTGTTTAGCGCGACGCTAGCGCCGTACAGCAAAGGAGCCTATCGACTAATTAGATCAGCTTGAAATTGTTCTAACAATTGCCCCTAAGCCTGGCACCGTGTCAAATGACACATAGTTACGAAATGTTAGTTCATCTAGAAAACAACATCTTGTGGATCATTAAAAGCTGCGGGGCATTTTGTCTGCCTAGGTAGAAACTCTGCTACACTTTTAAGCGTTAATTGGTATTTTTTTTTTGGCCAAATGTTAAGTTCATTTAATTGTCTGCATGTAGTTACACATGTACAACGAACATTTGTATGTTGTCTAAAATGTTTCCTAAGAAAGTATGACTTTGCTGCGTCTGTATCGTATCGGCGTGATTCGGTAGAACGGCAGTCCTTGTTGCAAATTACCGACCCATTGTGCTGAGCTATGGCTAGCTAAAACATAGCTTTATGCTTAGGTGGCATTACTAGTTTATTTGTTGCCCTACGTGTTGCTGCAACCGGCAGAAAATATCTGCCCTGCCCGTACGAGTACCTCAGCGTATACACCATCACGGTGTTTATGTTATAGCAGCGGCCTATAGTTTTTGTGAATATTAATTATATATGGGCATAACATGAAAGTGTGAGCCAGCCCAATATGGACCGAAAAAAAAAGTCATAAAACGTGTCCATATATATATATATATATATATATATATATATATATATATATATATATGTATATGTATATATTGATCTTGAAACCTTAACAGTTCATTATGAGCTTTACTGCAAATTTACTAGTTAGTCGAAGATTTTTCACCGATTACTATATAAAGTGACATTTTTTGTACACTACGGCATAGGGTGCTTAGCGGGAACCCTCAGGTGGGGCTAAATGTCATAGGTGTAAGTCTGCAGAATGACCGATAGCACAATTTATTCTAACAAAGCCTTCACGACGACCATGCATGTGTACAGATAGATAGAAAAATTATTTCATCTGTCTACGCGACGGATTATGTAACGACTTATTGACATCTGATTATTTAACATGACCATTCAAGCCATTGTTTCGCTGCCCAACTTAGGTTCAACCCATACACAATTATGTGTATGGGTTGTGATTCCTTTGCCCCTATGATCTCTTTTTTGAGTCGTCCTTTTGAAGAAGTTTTACTTACGTTTTATACAACTTAAATACCTTTTACGTAACCGGGAATTTGACCACAGAGACAAACATAGCTATTTCAATATACAAATATACTTTTTCTGTTCTAAGGAACGTAATCGGTTAATAGGTAAAATTCATTTATTCGCATGGGTATTTTTTTCACACAGACGAAAGGTCCCTTCATGTATCTTCCGCCCAAGCGCATGTTTTACCCTTACGTACTTCCGCCCGTAGCGCATTGCAGGCATTGTAAAAACCTTATAAGTGAACGAAAAGTAACGGCAAAGACGATGGCCAATTTGAGCGTGTACTTTATTTTTATGATATGATGTTTTTGTAAAATAGGAAACATACTCAATAAAAATAATTTGCAAGTCTATTGTTAATATAAATAATTATCACACCTATTTCCAGTTCCGTTTCAACTGTAGGCCTATTTTGGCCCCCTCGTAGCTTAACGGAAAAATTTCCAAAAGAATTTCTGCAATTCTAACTTTCTAAACACCCCATAGGTGATTCGTAGTTATGTGGCCACTGCTATTACTCGGTGCTCTAAGCAATGCTCCTGCCAGAACAGAAAGCCCACCCGTGAAATTCTGGCGGCTTATCAGCTAGCCCACGTTAAAGCTATCGAGAAACAAACTCTTTTTCTGTCGGCAGTTTTCTATCTTTAGCCACAAGCAGTTAATTGCAAGGGCAATTCGATAAATATATAAACGTATCTTGGAACACTTCTGTTTTTTTGCTACAGTCCATTTGTGGGATTTGCCTATCTGACTCGTTCTAAATTTCGAAGGACTGTTGTTTTGGACAAAGTATGACTTTGGGCCGACCGGCGTCCGTTATCCGTGGAAGCCGCTACTTAAAGCTACCTATGACCATGTAATTTCTAGAAAGTAGATACTTTTTGTCTTAATCAGTTTGGACATTTTGACGAAGGAATTTATACTGAGCTTCTGACTGTATCCTTATAAACGAATAAACCAACATTGATATTTTCTTCAATAGCATTCCAGCTTCGCTGTTCCGCGGGTTCTGTGAATGTTAGGAAAATTCGACCTCGACCGATTTTCCTACTAGGGGAAAATTCATTTGTCTATTGAAGGACAAAAGTTTACATCCCCTACAGCACTACTGTGAGCGAGAGCAAACGCTCAAAAACGTTGCTAAAAATAGAAAAAATATTTCGGTACTTTTTCAGAAAGGAACAAACTTTCTATCCGCTAGATCGGCTGTTAGCCAGTGCTCAGCAGCGTCTAGCCGACTCTAGTGTTGGCCGACAATGAACAAAGCCCACTGGATATACAAATGCATAGAACCGGCAGACATTAAAATTAAGTAGAATTGAAAGCTTTATTTTTTGCAAATAATGACCGAAGTCGATTATGATGCTGGTCTAGTTGACATACCTACCGAGAATAATTTCCTATTTATTGCACTTTATCACTAAGACGAATGAAAACGTTCATAATTCTCACAAGACAAACTTACCACTTCACAAATGATGGTAAGCTGAGGAGTCTACGGTGTCAAAGAGTCTCGGTAATATGACGGACACCAAAATCATATTGTAGGAAATAATTTAGGCGTTTAAAAATTAGTTTCGAAAAGCAAATATATGGATATAATTAACGATTTCATAATACAACTAATTGTAAAGGCCTAATCCTATCATGGCTTATAACAACACATTTGCAGAACAGAGCTCACCTGAACACGGTCACGTTGCTTTTAACATTTTACAAAAACTGCAGAAGAGAGTTCATAGACGTAATAGCAACGACTCTGGCGGCATATCGGACGTAGTTGGTTATCGCATATCTATGTATAGACTGGGATTGTGTTAAAATGATCTGGTTGGTTGTGACAGGTCATCCAGCCTCAAAATGTACGTTTTTCTGTAATTTCAAGTGAAAGAGCCATACCATAATAACCACGTGATATATTGTGCAAATGCGGTACAAAACTCCTTCCAGCACTCCGGTTACCTTTTTAGAAAATATATCGAATTTGAATCGGTAATGTATACTGTAACCTTATGCGCATTGACTATGTGATGTAAAAAGGACAGGGCATTGGGAATCGAGTAACAAGGCCTGCTTGCTTAGCTGAATGCTAAGCTAATAGTTCGAATATTATTCATCCTATTCTAACTACGGACCAAGCTCATAAGTGGTCTTGCAGAGAAAGTAATCCACACTCGTGAGTCGAGGCAAACTAGGCACTTGTGACGAATTTACGCTATTATCCTTCAGATACCCCATAGCAGGAATCATTTGCAGATTTAAGTGGCTTGACTCTAGAGTCAATCAATACATTTGAGATGGATTGAAGTTGTATATTTGGATACCACAATTTTCAATTTATGAACTGTGGGTGAAGTTACTATACGCCCCACAATATAACCTCAAACCAGGACCGTCGAGGCGAGATTCGTCCCTTATATAAACAATGCTCATTCTCGTATACAAACGCACCTACAACTTTAATATGCCTTCAACTGTGTAATAAAATACAAACTAAATCGGGATTGTTTCGTCTATAGGAATAGCAAACTTAACGCTGTGCCTGTTTTCTATTAAATATGAACGTCGACGACCTAATACAATAGGATTTAGGGTTTCCTGTTTTCCACCAGTCGCTGTTATGGGTCCGAATGAATAGAGTCCGTTTGGTTTTGATGTTGATAGCATGGACCTAGAAAAATCTCGCTCAGTGCTATGCATGCCAAATCCATAGATCTTAGCGCTGTTGGGCAGGTCGACGTCAGGGTGCCCAAAAATAGGGTCCCTTGCTACTAACGAATTGCAACTTAACGTAACTTGAAGCGCGGGCTTGCAGCAGACCTAAAGGTAGCGACTGAAATGCGACTTTGTGCAATGGCTATCAGCATTAGTCTATCGATTACATATAAAGTTCACATAGGCAGAGCCATTAAGCTGTATTTGCTCATGTGCCTTCCTAAAATAGGAATCCCGCTTGCAGCCTATTACTGCCCAGGTATATGCTGAATGAAATACCTAACCACTATCCGTCCACGCGGCTACATAAACGAGTGGCACGCAGTGCATTCCTAAGCTGCGCTCCCCTGACTTCTTTATCGATAAGATGAACCTGTGTAGCTGAACCCTAGAACCTCACAAAGGTGAAGCTATCATATCGACTGAAGTCATAGTCATTTCGTTCGAATCTTTTCAGTTCGCTGTCAGAGGGGGACATCGCTGATTATGCTGAAGGTCGACAATAGGCAAATGCGCAGTGTTTGCCGTATTCCTCAGAGGTGTCAGATTTGTTATTCGTGGAACGATACAAACAAAATTGAAAGAGAATTGATAAGGCTGCATCGTGACCAAGAGCATCATCGTCATAGCGGATAAGTATAATCACTGATGCGTAGATAGGCCGATTGCAATAGTTGCGTGGTTTGAAAACAAGCTGTTGCTGAAGCTGGTGACGATTGATTGTTTCACCTGCATGATACCTTATTTAATTTAGTAAATTTGTCATGGTATTGTTGTCTACTTGAATTAGGTATTGTCTCCTGTTTTAGTAGTGCCTCAACGCACACCGGAAGTGGTGGCCACGGAAAAGTCCATCGATACGAAAATCTATTTTCGTCTAGTGATGACAGTTAGCAGAACTTCCTCGATAGCCGCCATTTTGTTCTCATAAATGACTCTTTCAGACGCCCATCCCATTCAGGAAATTAAAGTAACTTTAAATCGAATCGGTGTTACTCAATCAAACAGAACTGTCCTTTTGTATATAGACCAGCTCTATCGTGTGTCAATTGAACATGGACCTGTTTTCATAGAAAGACTTCGAGTATCTTTTAAATTGCTTTTATCAGCGTTACAAGCTGTTACACACATTGGAGAAGATGTGGCGTCAGTGAAATCTATAATAGTCATTGTTTCGCATTGAAGCTGATTGTTGCGACGCTGGCTATCTCGTGCCTAAGCATTACCGTGGTAATGGACAACATTAATCAGCTGTCGAGAAGTTCGAGGCATTCCCTGCAAAAGCGAATCCTTCAAGCTAGCAGGGCTTGCCGATAAGCGAATAACTCTTGCATAACGTTTTAATGTTTAAAATTGACAAGTAAACACCCTAAAATAACGTAGTGTTTTTCCGCGCTCACGTCCGGTTGTAAGAAATCCCTTCTTCAAAAACCTGTCTGTGTAGAATAGACACAGAGTTCCTAAGTGCTTGACAAGATGGCTGAAGTCAAACAGAATTTGGTCGATGCGCAGAAGGTAGAAGAGAGTCCATATGGTGGAGGTGAAACCTCTATTAAGAAGGCCTTAAAAACGGGAGCAAATTTGGAAGCGCGAACTGTAACCATCGATGCATCTCAAGTGGAGGAGGTACTTCCAGAAGTGGGTGACCACATGATCGACATTGACAGGTAAGCCTCTTAAATTTCCGTAAAAGGCTTAAAAAAATACTAAGCGAGCCAAAGTGTGTTGCTTTTCTCGATGTCCGTCCCTATTCCGAATGCTTTCGTTCGCCTTGGTGCTGTTTGCGCAACGAGTGAATTAGCTTCAGGTATAATAAAGCGGTTAATTATGTAAGTTTATTGCACATTTGTGCTCTCGTTTTAGAACAAAACTTCGTCCAGTTGAAGGACGCGCACCCACACCGATTCCAAGTGAGGAAGAATGGAGCGTTATGCGAAAGGAAATTCAGCAGTTGGCTGCAGGTGGGGGCGAAAGGCAAGAAGACGAACAGGAAACACCTAAACAGATCTCCTTGGCCTTTGTTGTCACCGTACCAGAGGTCGAAAGTGAGCCTTCTGATAATAAAAAAGATGATGAAGACTCATTCAAGATAGGCCTTTAGTGAGCGTAACAGAGAGCAACAGCTGATGATTATATGAGAAGCAATGCATTGACAGAAGTGATGTTGACACGCGCCTAATAATGAGCTGATGGATTTTGTTTGATGAGAAAGTTTGTTAGCATGATTTAAGCGTAGCCGTTGTCAAACTATACAATATAATTATTCCTTGAAACTTTTATTACAATGTTCTGTTCTATATACGTATATATATATATATATATATATATATATATATATATATATATATATATATATATATATATAACATTGTTAACCTGGCTTCTAAGAACTAACATTTCGGATGAACAGTGTTTCGCTCACAGTAGATGATCTCGGTATGGAAAAAACGTAGCCCTAGTTAGTCGATCTGTGTATATCGAGTCAACAGCATAGAGTCGATTGGCTGTCTGGTAAATTAGTAGTACTCTTCACCTTACTTAGAGCAATAATAAACTTTCAACTATAACAATGAATGCGTCAGTGTATAACAGATACACAATTGATAATATGACTTGATTGTCAAGTTACGCCAAATGTTTGTGTTGATTTCCGCCGTTTTGTGGTGGAATTTTTTTTAATTGTTTATTTGTGTGATTTGCTTAGGTTAAATGTTTATTCTTAGTGTAAAACTCGTAGATTTTTACGTAAAAACATAGTAAATTTTTGAGAAATTGAAGATTTGTAGTTCGAACTTTTTTCAGCAATGCACAACTGTGTGAAAGATCAAATCGGGAATACACATTGATTTCTATTTGAGAGAATCCTCAAAAGACTTACTCCAGCGAAGGATGTAATTGAAGGAGCCTCTTTCCCGAAACTTAAACTTCCGGTGCGAAACAAATCCTTGCTATACAATCTAATAGGAAGCAGTGTATTTTACAACCTAGGCATATATGCTCTATTTAGTTACTTGCCTCTATAAAGGAGCGAAGTAATCGATATGTGCACGGTCGAAGCAATATTATGTGAACACAAACATTTCATCGGTTTAACCCCCCTGCCTCCCTTCTCCTGCTTCACGTAACAGAAAACAAACCTTAGTTCAGTTTGCGGCAAGAAAGTGCAACAGTTACGTTTCGCGAATTTATTAGTATTCCCCCAGATAGAGGAGGTTAGAAACGCTGCATATTGAAACATAAGCTTGACCGCTGTGCGACCTATAGTTGGGCTACCGAAAGCCACTCAACCAACTGCTACGCTTGTAGGTTTGCTGGTGGAACATCTACTTCTGCGGCACTCTTGATGGTATCTGGATGTGATCTAGATAGCAATGCTACATTGAGCTTTGACGTCACCTTCCCAATTTTTCACGTTTCGAATTCCTATAGGTGTGTTCCCGGGGCAGAAATGACCCCGGAGTACCACATGAATATAGTACTGACGAGATCAAGTAAAGGCTAAAAATAAAGTTTCAAGTAAAAGTCAAATACTTTAATATTGTTGTAAGTATAAGAAACAAGTGGCTGTAACGGCTATGGAACGGTTACCTTATCCATGCAGTTATCGTTTCTATTCATGATCCGCCACTATTCTTCTAACGGTACACGTATTGCTCCCCAGTATTCATTGGCGCGAAGATTCGAAACTGACAGAACAAATAGATTAAGGGTGGCGATAGAAACGCCCGCCGCATATGAGTGTTTTCTCTGTGACTGCGAAAGACGCTCCACAAGGCTAGGGCTGTTATATAACAGCAGTGGCCGCACCACATCCCATAAATGCATTAGCTATGTCGCTTTCTTTTGAGTCTATACGTGTGAAAGACGGTACACACGAGTAACAAACACAAGCCGCAGGGCGTAAACTCGAGTTAAGAATGTCGGTCTGGATCACGTTCAGGCCGATAAGGGGCGACGATGGAAGGCACAGAGAGATGAGCGCGTGGGTGGGCTCGCTTTCAGTCAGCTAAGGTTGGCAGGCGCCTAGGCCTCACTTCGACTAGGATGAGAAGCGGGCTGGGCTTGTAACGGGAATAGCGAATATACACACGAATGTATGAGAGTAGAAGAACCCACAACGAAATAGGTGGGATACAGAGCACTAGCCGTATCTTCTAAAGCCACAGCAGGTGAGAAGAATAGCGATACTCACATACTTCATCGCGTGCATTTCCGTAACAACCTACTTAGTACAGGATAGGGTACGCGTGAGCTACTTCGTGATGCAAGTGCGCTAGTTTTTCTACAACTCGTGTTGTTTTCTTTTTTTACAAAATTGTAGTTAGCCACTGAGCTCTACATTTTCGTGAGCATGTGAGGTAGTCAGTGTGAGATAATCGTTACTGATGGTCGGCTAAGTATACGTAAGACCTGTTACATATATTAGGGACACTTGTTTATATTGAGCGCTTTGACTATTTAGATATAGCTAATTAAGTCGAACACACGCGGGTCTATTCTTTGTGCCACAACGATATACGGATTTTATACAACACTTCACATAAGTAACTTTTCGATTTTAAATAAGCAGAGTAAGTTTTGCTGATATGGAATATAATTCATGTCAGCGTATAACGGAATGGATGATGAACTATATTATGAGGTCTTCAATAAAAAAAAAGTTGCGAATTTGCCCTGGCCCAAGTAACACGTGAGCCGGAGTACAGTCGAATAGATTCCATCAAATTTTCTGGCCGTTTAGTGGTTGAAATCACAGAAAATGATTATCAGATATTGCTTGGTCGCGTATTCATAATACAGTATTGAGCGAAATGCTCCACGCCATGGTCCCCATGTACACCGTGGACTGATAGCTCATTGATAACTGATGTTCGGGTTCACAGGACCTTCTGCCTTCTGTAGTTTAACTGAGAAAGCGTTTAGATCACCGTCTAGGCGGTAGCATCGCCGAGTAACTTTACGTTACAATACATGAATCCTAATAATAGTAATAATACAATGTGAAAAGCTGTTCTCACTGACGATGCGTCACGTTAGGTCAGATACGCAGATAGGTCAGGGAACGACTGCAATATAATGCTGATTACGGAGGTGACACGTATTCCTAACATGGCGAAGCAAGCTTGAACTTACTGAACTAAGGAAGAGAGAACACTGCGTAGTTGAAAACAGAATGTTTCCTCTATTATTCTTATCTAAAAATTGCCGAATTTATCATTTCGAAATTCTTGCAGTAAATAAACAAACAAATAAATAAAGAACTGAGTCCGAGGTTGATTGCCATCAGATAAGAGTGATTCATTTCGAATTAGTTCGATAACAATCCTGACTGACCGTTCGCGTTTCGCTCAAAGATCTTACGATTGAACAAGTATAGACAATGTACGCAGAGCGCAGAGTTCTAGGCGCTCTGTACAGTCTATTCACAATGTTATGTCTATCAATGAAAACACAGTGAAGCAATGAGAAGTTGGCGAAAAGTTGCACTTAACCAAAATATTTTAGACGGTTAAATATACAATAATAATAATAATAATAAGCTTAGCGTACCGTTGCTCGAGCTACGTTACATCGTTTCCGTTGTTTTTTTCTCGAGATCGTACCTTACCTGTTGCCATAAGCCAATGCACAGACTATTGAAAATAGTTAATGCGCTATTATTCCTTGGTAGACTTGCAATAAGTGGTTCCTTTCATAAAGTTATGATATGAACTGAGAAACAAATGAATCTTCATGAAGTGAACTCACGATTATACTGCTAATCGTACTTTTCATTTGCTGAAGTCTAAGATGGCACAAGCGTTCTTATGTTTTTTGTATGCGCAACCTTCCGAGAACTTTATATTCATAGGTGTTTGTCACAACACAATCAGTCGGAACGAATTTATAATAGAAAATCTGTTTTTTTTCCGTGAGACTTTCTGAAGTTTCGGTCTGGAAGGCCTTTAAAGCTACTGCGTTCGTTCCTGTGTTATGCCCATGCACCCACACCTCGGCACCTCGAAAGATAAGTTTGAGTGAAGCCAGCTCTTCTCTTTATGAACGTTAAGTTATTCCTGAAAAGGTTGTTGAGAAATCTGCATTTGTACAAGGTTCAGATCCTTCGGTAAGCTCCCTTTTTTGAGCTCTTTTACCTATACGTGATCTCTCAAAATGGTCGAACATAATTCATGTGAGATTCCTAGATCTTTTGCGAAATCTCCGCGAGTGATTCGTCGATTCTGAAGTGTTTTCTCCTTTCCACGTTTTCGTGTTTTCGTTCGTACCCACTGAGATAAGCCACCCAAAACAATGATCAGTCAAAGCTCTCTCGCCCGTCCCGGAATTTTCATACCTTAATGTCTACTTATTAGTTTTTTTATAACATTTCCACCATCTCCGAGCTTTTAGTTTCGTTCTTAACATTCAACCTAATGTATGCTCTTCGATACTCCATTTTCGTTTTCGAATAACTAAAAAAAAATATTGAAAGTCACTCACTTAAATAAAAACGCTGGCAAAATACAATGCATGCCGTCAAATGCCGTAAAATTTGGCTTGTCGATAGCGAGCAGAGAGGATAATATTACGCTATAAATCGCATTTTAGCCCATAAAAATGTACGTTTCATAAAAGCGTTTTTGGCCTAGTACTGCCCCTAACATGCCACCGAAAAACCCATTTCCTACAACGCCAATGACGCCCTACACCTCAATCCAAAAGCCGTCGTACTCACGATAGTGCCATAATTATAACGAACCACAAACATAATTCCTGCAGAATGTGAGGCAACATGCTGCTGACAGTTGCCCACCTCTAAGAATAGATACTTTATACTGCTATTTAGTTTTATGACAATCAAAAGCCAAGTTGTTTGTGTATTTCCTAAGGGAGCTGTTCAAATGTTATAGCTATAAACAAACGTGATGATGTCATCAAGATTGGGTAGCTTGCACCATCATGGCCATAACCATTTTCGCAGACCACCGTTCTATGGGCGGATACATGCTTAACAAGTGAAGAAGAAATTTTTAGAATACCGTTTTCCGTTACGTGGCTTACGCTCGGCTTATTAAACCTTATTTCGTACCGAACAATAGCAACAAAATACGTCTATCCGCGAGTTACGGACCACTTCAGGTCGTCCTAAGCTTCGTATGCCAACACGCACCGTCATCAGCATAGCATAATGTTCTTTTTAAGTCTTCTGTGTTTAAATTGATTTATAAGTATCGAGAACAGTCACTTCTGCATATAGTAATTCAAGTCGCCAAATGATTTTCACATATTTATGTAGTTATACCATTTGAGAGATGTACATTTATCCTTAATTAGCAGATTTTTCGGCAACAGTTCGGGCGCCCTAACGAGCTATGTCTGAACGAAATAACTGATTTCAGTAGACAAAACGATGCACTTAGACTCGACGCAGAATACTAACTGTACTAATAGAACAACAGAGTATTATCTGTGTTTTTTGTTTGCAATGCAAAATGTCGGATTTGCCGCTGTAAGCTACTCAAGCTGCATCCTGATGCAACAGAAAAAAGCGTTACAGCTATCGCAGCC